TCCTGAAATCTAGGGCTGCTGCCTTGCTGCAGGCCTTTGCCACCTTGCGCTGGATGGTGAATAATAGAAAAGTAGGGCCAAAGGGCCTTCCAGAGGTCATCTAGTCCAACCCCCTGCCTGAGGCAGAATCATTCCTATCCAAACCATCCTATAAAATCCATAATTTAAACTCTACAAAATACCACAGTCAACCCTGACACAAAACAGACCTAACATGACACAGGTAAAGCAGGGAAATGACGACAGCTAATGTCCTGCTTCTATAAAATGTTGTCAACATAAGCTCAAGAGTTCCTGGGTAGTGGGCCTCTGCCAGGGTATGCACAGCAGCAGAAGCCCCTCCCCCACCTTGCGCCCCTTGGCAAGCTACCTGGGCTCCGATCTTCCCACTACTCAGCCTGGCCACGGCCCCATGGCCTGCCCCTGCCCCACTCCCTCCCTCACCATAGGGACCTTGATCTGCCCCCCAGTTCCCTCCCCCTAGACTGACCTTCTGGATGGGGGCATCAGGGTGGCGCGTGGTAGATACTGGGTTGCACTTTAATTCAAAAAGTGCTCTGGTGCTTAAAAAAGTTGGAGACCACTGCTCTAGACCTAATGTCTTCACATCCTTTTTAAAATGTGGAGCCCAGAACTACATACGTCACTCCAGATGAGGCCTGGCCAGTGCTGAGTATCACCTCCCAAGTCTTGTACTTAATGCTTCTATGGATGCATCCCAAAACAGCATTAGCCTTTTGTGTAGCTGCATCACACTGTAGACTCGTATTGAGTTGGTAGTCTATCACAACTCCCAAATCCTGACCCATAGTGCTGCCATCCAGCCAGGTGTCACCAATTTTATATTTGTGTTTTTAATTATTTTTCCCAACAGGTAGCACCTTGCATTTGTCTGCATTGAACTTCATTCTTTAGCTCTAGTCCAACTTTCCAGTCTCTTGAGATCCTTCTGAATTGCACACACATCTTCCAGCGTGTTCGCAGTCCTTCCCAGTTTTGTGTCATCTGCAAAGTTGCTCAAGAAACTTTCTATGGTACCATCCAAATAGTTAATAAACATGTTGAACAGCACTGGGCCCCCAGGACAGACCCCTGTGGGGCTCCACGAGAAACCTCCTGTCATTCTGAGATGGATCCGTTAATAATTACCCTTTGCTTGTGGTTATTGAGCCAGTTATCTATCCACCTCATAGTAGTTTTACCTTGCTCGCATTTCTCCAACCTGTTTCTAAGCAGGTTGTGTAGAACATTGTCAAAAGCCTTGCTGAAGTCCAGATACACTATTTCAACAGCATTCCCTTCATCCACCCAAGTAGTTACTTTGTCAAAGGAGATCAAGTTTGTTAGACACCATTTATTTTTTGTAAATCCATGCTGGCTGCTTGTGATCAGCCTTTCCTCCTCCAGATGCTTGCAACTGGTCTTTCTTTGGATATGAGCCAGTAACTTCTCAGGTACTGAGGTAAAGCTAAACAGTCTGTAGCTCCCCGGATCCTCCTTTTTGCCTTTTTTAAAGAGGGATACTGCGTTGGCCCTTTTCATGAAGATCAAGTTCTCTAGCACGCTGATTCATTGTCTATTAACTTGTTTCATGCAAAGTGAGGCAGTATCTACAGGAGAGACTGAGCAACCCTCAAACCAGGATCCCATTGTAGCCTGGTGGAGAAAGAATTTACCTGGAAATTTGGATAGGCAGATTCAAATCTCCTCACACCAGTGCAGTCAGGATGGTGTCCCTATTTTTCCAATGATTGTTTAATGCAAAATACAGAAACAGTCCTGGAAGCAGGTCCTAAAGGCTTGTTCCACCCCTCCCTCCAGGAGATTGCTTTGAGCAAAGGAATGCAGTCACACTCCTCCTCTCTGAGTCTGCATGAATTGATCTTGCATTCTTTGCTGCACATTGGCACAGCTTCCTAGGAGAGGGGGAGATTACCTCTGCCAACCCTCCCAGACATGCCAGCTTAGCCCAGCGCAGCTCACAGGGTGGTGGCTAAAGCCCTGTCCTGGGAAGCCCTGAGTGCATGGGTCCGGAATACAGGCTTTCTGCATTTTTGCTGAGTATCTTAACCACTATTATACAGAAGCTTGGCAGTAACACCACTACCAGCCCTGCTTCTAAATGAAATGTCCATGGCCACTGTGCTTTGTGTGGACACTATTGCTATCAGCTTATGGTAGCAATTAGGCCTGTACGAAGTGGCTAGTATTCGCTTCAGATTTGGATTCAGCTGATCTGGGGGACAGTGATTTGATTTGGTGATTTGAATCACTGTCCCAAAATCGATTCAGTTGAATCTGATTTGGAGATTCATCTGCCACCAAATTGGTTGAATTTCTTAATCAAACAGGCCCCATCCCCCGCCTGCTCTCCCAGCCCCCCCTCAGCCCCCCCATGGCTGCCCCACCTGGTCCCAGAGTCCCAGTTATTTAAAAAAATAAAAGCCCCACACTCACTGGCTCCTGCTGGAGGCGGGGGTGGTGATCACCACTGCCCCATGCTGCATGGAGGGCTCTGCCACAAACCCCCAGAAGCCCTGATGGCTGCTGAACCAGGTGAGTGCAGGGCTTTTTATTTGTTTGTTTTTTTTAACAGCTGGGATGCTGTGGCTGAGCAGGGCAGCCATTGATGGGGCTGGGAGAGTGGGCAGAGGATAGGGACTCACAGCAGAGTCAGCACTTGTAG